GGGGGGGGAGAAATGCTGGTCTGGGACACTCGTCAGGATGTTCGAAGTATGGGAACCACAAGATTTTAGATTGTGGTAGCAGTGGAATGTTTGTGGGATGTTTGTAATGTTGGAACTGTGGATTGTGTGATGTTTTGAATGTGCGAATGGTGGGGGGTTTGGAGTGTGGGAACAGTGGAATCTTTGTGGGATATATGAGCAGCCATTTTTAACCTGACCCCACATGCCAGTCAGCACACAATTTTAGTCATCAGCCGTTTCTAGCTTGGTGTAGCTTATTTCCTGCTTGAGAAAAGCAGCTCACAGTATGGCCACAGCTATTGCTTGTAATGTGGCCTCGCCCTTGGAGAGTGGGAACAGTTTGATGGAAACTGTGGGATGTTTGTGGGCTACTTAGAGAGTGGAAACGGTGGGATGTTTGTTGGTGGGATACTTAGAGAGTGGGAACGGTGGGATGTTTGTTGGTGGGATACTTAGAGAGTGGGAACAGTGGGATGTTTGTGGGCTACTTAGAGAGTGGGAATGGTGGGATGTTTGTTGGTGGGATACTTAGAGAGTGGAAATGGTGGGATGTTTGTTGGTGGGATACTTAGAGAGTGGAAATGGTGGGATGTTTGTTGGTGGGATACTTACAGAGTGGAAACGGTGGGATGTTTGTGGATTACCTAGAGAGTGGGAACGGTGGGATGTTTGTTGGTAACTTAGAGAGTGGGAACAAGGGAATTTTGTTTGTGGGATACTTTGAATTTGAATGTAGGATGTTGAGAGTGTAAAAACAGTGATTTATGCGTTGTTTACCTCTATTTATCCCTGGGTATCATGACAAAGGCGCCCATGAACCTGTACGGGAAAACATACTGTGGAATTCGCTTAAACCGAAATCTGTAGGATCTCCGGGTTTTCATCTGTATAGAGAGGTTGTTCAAATTGAAGAAAAATTGGGTGATCTGCTGTTTTCGGATTAATAATAATAGGTGTCGACATGATGGAATCAGGCGCTTATCAGTTTTTAGTTATTGGCATCGTCTTAATTAAATGCTTGTTCATTTGTCTTGCTTTCGTTGAAAAATATACCCATCTATCTTAAATAGAAATCGAGATTTCAATTGAATGTGGTCGGGTCGCCCGATTTCAGAGATAAAATTAGCGAGAAAATGGCCGCCAAAGTTTGGAGAGTCCTTGGAAAATGAAAATTTACAATTTCTGTGCCTTTAATAAATGTTTTTCTGTAAACTGACACAGAAATGTGTTTTTAAATGGACCTAAAAGATGTTGAGCTAAAAACAAAAATTCGATAGAAATTGCTGTGGAAAAATGACATATATTTTAAATTTTGATTATTTTGCTGAACACCCGATTTCATCACAATAATTCACATATTATGTTGTTCTGTTTTCTATTATTTCTCCTCAAAGACTTCTAGATGTTGAAGAAATATTATGAAATATTACAGACAGGAATTGTAGATGAAAATCAGAACAAAGCCAATAAAAGTTGACCTGAGAGGAATTTAAGAAACCTTTACCACATTATTCTTGCGGGTCTGCTTTGAGTAGCTTAAATTTATTTAAGAAAAGTCTATACTATACATGAAGGGTTTGGAGAGGGGGGTTCTTGGCCAATGCCGACCATCTTTTTGATCCACGGTGTGGGTAAAGTCTGTTTTTTGGTTTTGAAAAGTTGGCAGCTATATCATTTATACACTGTAAATAATATACACATCTCTCTGTTTCTCCAGGTATCAAAGGCTATGTGGTTCTCAAGTCTGGCTCAAAACCTGAGGACTTGATCAACCAGGTGGTGGATGAGGAGAACGTCAATCATGTGTTCATGGGCACCCGCGACCTGGGCAGCATTCAGCGGGCCTTTGTGGGCAGTGTGAGCACCGCTGTGGCCCGCTCGTGCAAGGTGCCCGTCACCATCGTCAAAATCAAGGAGTAAATTTTGGGGGCAGATGGTGGCCAGAGAAAATGGACAGGGCAGCTGTCATTTGGAAGTGAGAGTGTTTACAGGAGACGGATATCGATATAACTATAGCAGTTGTGCGTGTGTGTGTGTGTGTGTGTGTGTGTGTGTGTGAGAGAGAGAGAGAGAGAGAGAGAGTGGAGCGGTTTGTGTGGACATGTGATGTTGTCAGTGTAGATGTGTGTTGTCTGTCTGTCCATGTGAATGTGTGACATTGTTTCTATGCTAGTGATCTGTAATGACTGATAAAAGTGATCTTTTTCTTTCTGTCTGTTGGTTGAATGAGCCTGTGCTTTGGTTCAGAGTGTAATGGGATTTGCTCTGTGTGTGTTAGTACGTCTGTGGCGTCGGTGGCCTAGTGGTTAGGCTATTAGACTCGTAATCGTGAGGTTGCGTGGTCGGGGGTTCGAGCGGCGGGCCGACGTTGTGTCCTTGGGAAAGGCACTTTACATGAATTTTCCTCTCTTCACCCAGGTGGAAATGGGTACCCGGCCATAGACAGCGAAAGATCTTGTCAGTATATTAGTGTTTTAGCGCCTATGAATGGCTGCTTGCACTGTATGCTTCCCAGGAAGTTGAGTTTGTTTCAGAATGCTCTCGTGTCTGCTGGGGTAATAGTGTAGATTGTGAAGCACATAGAGCTTGCTGTTGAGCGGGGATTTACACTATACAAATGCTATTATTATTATTACATGTGTGTGAGCACATATCATATGTATGTAGTCTGTATGTTTGTTTCAGTTGTGGCTCCATGTGCATATATATGGGTGGTGACAGTGAGGCGTGGAGGAATGGAAATCTAATGCAGCGTGTGTTTTTGTTATTTGAAATGTTTTGCCCCTCTGGTTTAATTTCCCGGGGTTTATTTGTCATGGACTGCATGGTGTGTTCAGGGGTTTCTCATGGATAATAATGATATGTCCTTTGGCCGAGATGTTCAGTGGTCATTTCATTGTCCTCAGATCTCTTGACCTGTTTTATTTTGGGTCAAAATATCACTCGGGGATTAATGGGTCCTGACACGTTTTACTTTTCTACTAGACTCCACCTCATATAACTAAATATGTTTTGATGTATGGAGGCCCCTATATATATGTATAGACATGTATTACCTGCAATTGTTGGTGTTGCTGTTTTTGGGGGGCTATTCAGCAGTAGTCCTCTTGCATTCCTTTTTCTTCCAAACTACAGATATACCGGTACTTGAGAGGCAGTAAGGAAATCAGTTTTTCTTCATTGTTCCTTGTTCTGAAATAGTCTTCTGTGCCTTGTGTGGGGTAGAAATCTTTTTTTCCCATTAAGTGTGATCATGCTCTTCAAAAATTTTGCCATAGAGTGGAAATCTCAACATTTTATACAGCACTTTGAGAATATGTATTATCAATGATCATTCTTCACTTCTTGCCGGAACCATGGATTATAGTAATACTAGTACTAGAAATCTATACATTTTTGTATGGTTTTGGTACCACACTCAATTCTTGAACAATATGCATGAGCTTCAGCTTGTGCTGATCTCAAGATGCTTTTTTCACATGTCCAGTTTGTTTTTTCCATTGTTTCTCAAGATTTCTTCCCCCTGCACCTCCCCCAAGTTATTTTTATTTGAATGAAAGATAGAGAGTGTGGCTTATCATACTTTTTACTAAAGGTCACTTTTTCTGTATCTGTTTTTGTTCAATTTATATTTTTTTACGTTTAGGATTGTGATTTACATTGTTTTCCAACAGCTACGGTATATGGTTAGCATGATTTCACTGATGAAGTCCAAGTTACAATGTAAAATTAGCATAATGTCACTGATGAAGTCCAAGTTACAATGTAAAATTAGCATAATTTCACTGATGAAGTCCAAGTTACAATGTAACATTAGCATAATTTCACTGACATCATTTAAGTCACAGGGCATTGGCATTTCCATGATGTCACAGACATTGTCCAAGCAATAACGCAAAATAATGACATAATACCGCAGACTTTGTTACATTACACTCATTAGCATTACATTTCTGACCCTGCTTCTTGGGCTCGGACAGCCTTACACGACATGTACCTTCACAGGGGATGTAGCCGAGACTGTTGATCATTGATTCTGTCTGTACTTATGTGTATGTGTGTGTGTGAGTGCGTTTAACATAAAATATATGTTGAAGTGATGGTGATTTTATTTTTTGCATTCCTACTTCATTAGGCTGTCCCCGCGGTTTTAAGCAAAAAAAAAAAAAAATCCTGAAATTATGCAAACTGAGCCCCAAAAATGTGACATGATGCGATTCTGTTAATTTTAACAAAGAACGTTAAAGGAAAATAATCTGAAATTATGCAAAAAATGATCAAATTTGCTAAATTATGTGGGGTGCATAAAACCTCGGGGACAGATTAGGTCGTGCCATTTTCAACATGCTTGAAAATGGCTTTCATATGAAAATTTAGATATTTTCTACCTGAAACAATTTAAGCTTATGCCAATAGCAGGCCTAATAGGTTTATATATAATATATATATTTATACACCCATGTATACAGATTTTTCATTCCTTGATCTTTGTTCTGTTACAGCTGTCACAGGACAGCACCCTGATTCTTCTCCTTTTGTCAATACTGTCCTTTTTTCAAAGCTGTAATGGCAGTGGAAAAAACAATGTTGACATTTGACCATTCATGCTGGACCGGAAAGTAACTTGAATTGCATTGAAGAGATTGGAATTAATTCAACTGGTAGTTGTTTTTCTTACCCACCGTTCTCCTTACTCATCTGCATGGCTTGGTGATGGGTGATGATAGGCTCTTCTGTTCTTGTAACATTAATTATGAATTCTTGTTATTGAAAATAAACCTACTCTTTATATTGCTACTACAGCCAACAGTGACTTATCTCCAAGACTTTGTTTTTATTTGTTCAGTTTTTCTTCAAGAGTAGCAGTATGGGTGGTTGGTGGGTGCTCTGGGCCTATCGGACACATCTATTGCTCCTATCTTACCTCCTACCTTTCATTGTATGTCACTCTCCAGTAGTACCTCTAATCTTCGGCACTTTTATGACCTTCATGTTGTTGTGTTGTAAGTGCCGTAAAACTCTTACTTAAGAATTACACAAAAAAGTACAGCAGTTGTCCCCTTGAGTGTGTGTTCTTGTTGTAGTTGGTAAAAAGTTGTTCCCGCATCCGATCCGGGCATTGGGGATTTATCTTGTTAGTAAGACAACTTCCTGGGCCTTTGGCATATTGTGGTAGGGTGGCCAGTTCCTTTCCACGCCGCCTTTACTTCCCCAACTCGAAGTCAGGTACCCATTACTGCTGGGTGGGGTGGAGAGGGCGAAAAAAATCCGTGTCCGAACCGAGGCTCAAACCTGGACTTTCCGCTTTGGAGATGAGTGCGCTAACCGCTCCGCCACTTCACCCTCGTTGTAGTTGGTACAATGAACAATTTCATAAGTTATTCTGCTTGAGGGAAGACAAGAATGTTTACCGGTACTATCTTTGCAACCTCTGCCACAGATAAACTCGCACAAAAAAGTCAAGGAACAAAAATTCAAAGAAAGATAACTGAAGAACAATTTAACCGAATTTATTCATTTTTTCAAAAAAGATGCTTTCGACTGTATAGATTTAGTGTGTGCAATTTCAGATTTCAGCAACAACGAGAAGTTCATGTAAAATGAGTTTAAGTCACACGGGTCAGATTTCAAAAGTCTGAACAGCCATAGTTCTTCATGAACATTGTCAATAGTGGATTTAGCCACTCCGTTTGACCAAACACTCGGTACAGCGTCGATGCATGGGCAGGACATGCCTTCGGAGACCTTGTTGCGGTAGGTTCTGTCACTCGTGGACTAGGCAACCCAAGAGTTGTTGAAGGTTTTGTGCAGGAGGGTGGTTGTCCCTTATCCACCGGTCAATGTGATACCAAATATTCTCTGCTGGGTTCTAAACCGGACTACAAGCTGGTCAGTCCATGTGGGTGACAGCTCGCTGTCGCAGGAAGTCTCCCATGTGGCGTGGCGTTGTCGTCCTGCAGTACAGCCTGGGGTCCAATCTGCCACAGGAGAAGAACATCAAGGGGACGCAGGATTTCCTCCCTGTACCTTGCCGCGGGCAAATTGTCCTGTATATGGTACAGGGGGTCTTGGGGTGAGCTGAGGAGCCTCCCCACACCAGAACGGACCCTCCACCGTAGGGCGCCACCTGCTGGATGCACTCAGGGTGGAACAGCTCTCCTCGGCATCTTCAGACGTGGGCTCGCCTGTCTGGATGCAGCAGGTTGAATCTGGATTCGTCCAAGAAGACTACCTTGTCCCACTGACATCGTGTCCACTGTAAATGGCGAGAAGACCACGCCCGGCGAGCTGCTTTGTGGGGCGGCGTGTGCCTTGGACGCCTGGCAGGGACACGAGAAGCGAACCTGGCTCTACGGATACAGTCCCTTATCGTCTCCTCACTCTCGTGGACATTGGCTGTCATCCGTAGTTGGTCCCTGATGCCGTTTGCAATGGTGGTTCGTGACGTCACGGCCTGTCTGACGATGAACTGGTCGATGCTGTCGTTGGTCAACGGGCGGCTCTGGTCGAGGCCTGTCCTGGACCCTTCCGGTCGCTTGCCATCGTTCTTGCAGCCTCTATATGACTGATGGGGACACCCCATGTCGATGTGCAACAACTGGGCACGAGGAGCCATTTTGAAGCCAGGTAAGGGCTCATCCTCTGTCGACGTCAGGCAGCAAGCGTCGTTGGACCATCGTGTTGTAATGAAACATGGCTGAAAAACGCTGGCTTATGAAGGGTTGTAAGTCAGCAATATTCACAGTTTAGCACGAGCCAAGCTCAGTTTTAGCTAACAGTTCCTATGCAAGTAGAGAAATTTAGCCCATTTTTCATGCTTTTCGGCTGTTTCAGAATGCCCTGTGCCGTCGCTGTGAAGCTGGTGTGGGCAAATTTTCTGTACAGGCAAACTTTGTCTAGTCGTCAGTGTGTGTGCCAAGTTTGGTTGACTGATCTTAACGGGTTTGTGAGATATTGCAGTTTAAATTTGACTGGTAAAAACACAAGTTGTTCCTTGACTTTTTTGGGCGAGTTTAGCTACATGCAGCTGCTGCTGCTATAAAATACTACGAC